CGCTCCAGCTGACTAGCAGTTTTTGTTTATTGATAAAAGTGCCCCGAGGAATGCGAGTGCCTTTTGTCATGTGATTTTTATTTATTTATTTTTTTGTGCGGAACACAGAGCGAGCCTGAGTTGTGGATTTCTACCACACTGCCAAGTTGCACCAAGTATGCAGGCTGGGGGCTGTGGGTATTAACCCTGAAACAGCGGAAAAACATTTTTAGAAATGTATATATTTAATTATCTTGTGCTGTTGAAAACCTACCATGTGGCAACTTGTTTAAAAGACCTCCCCTGCAGGAGCTCTTTTGAACAAGTCACCACATGATAGGTGCTCAACAGCTTTGATTTTGATATCTTGCATCATTGTGTAACAATAGCTGCATTTTGCGGTCTAAGGGTTAATCTGCGGGGTGAAGTAAAGGGGTGTGGCCAACGGTCACATGGTTTGGCCCGTTGCTGGGCTCACTGCCAGCTGTTAGTGCTGATCGTCACATGCTCAGTTTTGTGGGCACAGGAGCCAGAAATCATACTTTGGGGATAATTATGTAATTCAGCCGCACAGATGAGCCTTGTTCATAAACTGAATTGTGGATCTGGTGGCGCGCAACAAGTTCGGCAGCAAATCGAAGTCCCATGTGTTTGTAGTCACATTGAACCTATGATTGTACAGAAAGGGTCACATCTCATTTGTGGGATCCATTTTATAACTGCTTCCCTTTTCATATGGTATCACTCTCCATGTGACTCGCGCTCTCACTGCACTGAGTAAAACCAGGGTCCCTCCCATACTGGGGTTATGCACTGAAGTAAAAAGTGTTCTTTTGGGTTTTTATGTAGTTATCCTGCTCACTCAGTGATTCAGCCATATGATATAAGCCCCTGGTTTTGAGAAAAAACATCACCATTATTTCTCTTGGACCATGCAAGAGAGCCCATTCCACATCATAGAGTAGCGCACTAGCATCTTGTTGCGGCCTGTCAGAAGCGAAATCCAGGTTCTGAAAGTAAAATCGGTGGTTTTTTTCGACTGCCAAAATTGGCCGATTTGCAAAAAAGCGAAACTAATCAGGGCAGTCTGCTGTCTTGGTTAATTAGTTGAACAGAGACATGGCAGGATCCCTGGATGGTCCACGATCCTGGGACGGTTGCTGTGTGGTTATTGGATGGTGTCCTGTTGATAACTCTAAGATTGTTTTGGTTCTGGTTTTTAGCTGCCCCTGAAGGACCCGTGGAAAGGTCCAGCCCGCAATTGGACCCAGCCCTCACACATGAGCTTCCTCCCGCATCAACAGAACCGACACCACGCCCACTGGATCAACGCCATCCCGCACGCCAACGCACTCTGTCACTTCCACATCGCTGCTAGCATCAACCCTGCCACAGGTAAATACAAACAAGCATGCACTCTCTTCCACATTTCTACTGGCATCAGCTTTGCCACAGGTTAACACAAATGCCAATACACTGTCACCTCCACATCGCTTGTAGCATCAACCCTGCCACAGGTGAACAGAAACGCCGATACACTGTCATTTGCACATCACTGCTAGCATCAAATCTACTACAGGTTGAAACAAAAGCCAATACACGGTCACCTCCTGCTAGCTTCAGTCCTGCCACAGGTTATCACAAACACTCATAGACTCTCATTTACACATCACTGCTAGCATTAGCCCTGCTACAGGCAAACATAAGCACCAGCACAAGCTGTTAGCAGCACATTGCTGCTGGTATTGACCCTGCAGCTGTTGAATGGAAGCACTTGTGATCTGTGTCACCTCCACATTTCTGTTAATGTCAACCCTGCAAAAGGAAAGTTTACGCCACACCCAGAAAAAAAAGTCAGTGTTCAGATGGGAATCTTTTTTGCGGAGCTTTTCGTGGACATTATTTTAAATATCAGACTAATTAATTCACATTGATTATAATACAGATCACTGAATTCAGATTAAGGTTAGATTTCAGATCACTCTGAATTCAGATTAAGGTCATATTGCATAATATCACATTGAATTTAGCGCATTTACATGTTATATTTCGGATCACTTTAAATTCAGATAGTGACCATGGCCCTCATTTATCAAACTTGTGTAGGATCTGGTGTAGATTTTGGTGTAAATATCAGCGTTCGCCAGGTGTCACGTCTGATTTACTAAAAGTGTGTACGTCGCTGATTTCGGTGTAAAACTGGCGGGGCATTGATAAATCTGGCGGCTGAAACCATCGTAATTTACATGACACGCCCCTATAAATTCATGCTCCGGGAGGCATAGTCCTGCCCACTTTACGACATGGACTCTTGAAAGACGGCAGAGAAGAAAGAACTGCACTGAGGAGGAAATATAAATTATCACATCCGAGGTGGAGAAAAACAAAATGATTTTATTTGGAAGCCTTAAGAGTGGCATAAAGGGAGCCCAGAAGGCTGCAGTTTGGAAAACTATTGCTGCTGCGGTAAACACCGTTGAGGTGGAAAACCGGAGTGCAGCAGAAGTTTGATTTAATTCATTAATAAATAGAAGTGACTATTCGCACTTATTTAAGTGCGTCCAAGCACAAAAATTCATGGAAATTCGCGTTAGACGCACTTAGAAGTGTGGCCAAGATGCACATTTCTCCATTGCCCCCACTTATTTTAAGTGTATCCAAAGCTAATTTTTTTTTCCTGGCCAAACTTATTTTAAGCGGTACTTCCTAGAAGCGGCACTTGAATGGTCATCAATGGCGCACTTATAAGTGTGGCCAAGAAAAAAATTCAGCATTGGCCACACGTGTAAGTTCGAATAACATCAGCCTTAATAAATTCAATTTATAGATCCATGATATTTCAGGTTATATAGCCTACATGATTGACAATCCAAATGCTTACATGTAGGTTGAAAAAAGTGGTCCGATTTTAAGATCGCCACCAAAAAACGGGTTGCGGTGCTCAGGCGCGGCAGCGGACAGACCGGTGGAAGCCAATCAGGCTCAAACCTCCAGCTGCCACCGTTCGAGTAGCGCGTGGCAACACTGATAGGTGGGGAGTCCCCACCGCCTCGATCGGAGCTGTATGAGGGTAATTGCTAGAATACAGTCTGCAGAGATCACTCTTCATTGTACTTTTATTAGTATTACTCCATGAAATTTTATTGGGTGCCACACAAAACGAGCAGCCACTCGTCACTTTCCCGGAGGAGATCTTCTCTGTGCCGAAAGCTCCTCACACATTGAACAGAAGCTTATTCCAATTACAATAGAAGATCTGCCATTGTCAAAATGTGATCATGGCCAAAGTGTCCGTAGGCCTATATATACTGAGCAATAAAAGGAACGCAAGTTAGCTAGTTAGTCAATGTACTCTTATGGTTACTCAGTCAAACTGACCGCAAAATAAAGAAAAGTTTGATGAAACGAGTGTAAATGTGCACGCGCTAGTAATAAATTTGCTTTTCGAAAATAATTACGTGCAAACTTATTTTCCAGTCTGCCTTTAATTAACTTTCGTTTCTTTTGTTGTTCAGCATATATCTGACTGGATGAGCATGTGACAAACCACACTGCATATCTGCCAAGCCACGCATTGCGCTTAATCAAATTGATTGTAATTGTCAGCCGTCTGGCCTGACAAGCAGGTTGTCTCAAAATATAAGTTAAATTAATTTCTCAACACAGGTGTCTTATTTATTTATTTATTTATTTATTTATTCATTCATTCATTCATGTATTAATATAGCCTATTTATCTATTCAGCCTATTATTCATTTTACTAACAAGAGCAACAACAGCATGACGTCTGCATCGCTGCATATGGTTTATTACTCATTTTGACAGCTGCACTCGTTCCTGCATGTTGTTCGCTGGTTTAAAATTTGCGTACTCCTGGTCAGACCTGGCGTGAGATTTTTGTGGACCGTTCGCTAACGTTCAGATTGATAAATGCCGATCCTTGCGGGAGATTTGGCGTACACCCATTTTTTTGGTGAACGCACATTTGATAAATGAGGGCCCATATTTCAGGACCGTCTGAATTCACTTTAAGAGTGCATTTCCAATCTCCGATTTCAGATTAAGGTCTTACTTCAAATGACTCCGTACTCAAATCAAGACAACATTTTGGATCGCTGTGCATAGTTGGCTTTTTAAAATGTTTCCGGCCCTTTTGCTTCCCAGTCTGAAATATTCGCATTAATCTGTGGACGATTGCTACAGTATTTCCGCACTCAGGAGCGAGCAGGTAGCATTGGGTCCGGCTCCTTAACTCGATCCTCCTGTCTATCACTGAGGCAGGTTTGTTCTGATGCTCCAGGCCTGTCCTCGTCAGGGTTTAAACCAGTCCTCATTGAGGGGGTAAAAATTCTCTTGTGACAGTTTCTTGTGAAATGCGAAACACGCTTTTTGATTGGATTGGACTCATTCCTTTGTTCACATTGCCCCGAGCACTCTGAAGATCCGACGCAGCGCAGGGCCTACAGATATCAGGCTAGGCTAGGTGTGCGCGTTTGCGCTTTGAACAGTCGAACACCTCATGGCCGAGCACGGTCGATCCCCTATGTGTTGCAGACATTCCCCTCCTGCCCTCCATCAGCTCGCTGTGCATGTCGGACGACGAGGAGCCTGGCGGACCCTTCACAGTGCACTGGCTCAACAACAAGGAGCTGCACCTGACGCTGGCCATGGAGGTGTTCCTGCAGCAGCTGAGGGGCGGCCTGGAGCAGCCCAGCCCAGAGCTCACCATCCAATCAGATGACGGTAGGGCCAGAGCTCGCGTCCCTTTCGTCAAACTTCAGTGGGCTGTCGGGGTGATGCCCTCTTGGTCTTTTGAGACATTGTCACCTTTCAACTTGTGACCGTCATGAGTTTGCTGTGGAATTCTCTGAGTATAAAAATGAACACTGGGAAGAGTGCCCTGTTGAGCATTGAGGCTAATTTGGTTAGCTTCTTTGAATGCAGTTGTACACTATTTGCATCCTAAGTTCTTGGCGTGCTTGTAAACGGACTCATGAATTACTGGCCAATTATGAGCACTCGGCACAGTAGTGCAGTGGATAGCACTGCTGCCTCGCAGTTGGAAGTTGCTGGTTTGAGTTCCAGCTGGCCAGGACCTCTCTGTGTGGAGTTTGCATGTTCTCCCCGCGTTAGCATGGGTTTCCTATGGGAACTCCGGTTTCCCCCACCCAGGAGAACATGCTCATTAGGAACAGTCCTGCCGGTACCCCAGACCAATGAACTGGCTTTAGAACTGGAGTTGGGCCCCGGGCACTGCTCTGTGGCTGTCCACTGCTCCTAACTATAGGCTGGGTCAACTGCAGCGGACAAATTACCCCACAGGATTCAATAAAGTATAAGTAAAGTGAATGATCTTTGTTGGTTATATGTTCTCATGAGATTGTTCTAAGTGTTTTTGCGCTGCATTTGCGTTGTTTTTTCGACAGAAGACGGATATGACGAGGACGACCAGGCGAGTTCTCCCAGGAAACAGCCGGGCGGGGTCGGCACAGAGGTGGGCGGAGTCCAGCTGCCCGCAGTGGCGGTGGAGCACCAGGTGGAGGCGCTGTTGGAGGACTGGAATAAGAGCGCTGACATGCTCTTCAGCATCCACCCCATGGACGGCTCCCTGCTGGTGTGGCACGTGGACTGGCTGGACGAGTACCTTCCCGGAATGTTCCGGCAGGTGCAGGTAGGCCAGGGCGCATCACATTCCTGTGTCAAATACAAATTTGTTTTGGAAGTAAAAGCTTTCCTGCGCTCAGCTAATCTCGAATAGCACCAGGACGGGCATTGAGCATTGTGCTCTTCTTCAGAGCATTTTATTCAGTCAAAACACTTGTCAAGACCTGTAGAGCGCTGAACTGCATTTGGATCCGAAACAATTCCGTCAGTGACCCAGGTCTGGCACATTCAGGCATGTATGGCCCACCACTAGTTGTGCATTTAACTGCCACATAATACTAGTGAGGTCATGTCTGCTGTCCAGATGTTGCAGAGAACTATGTTCTTGTGTGACAGGCTTTTTATTTGTGTTTTGTTTGCTCTTCGCATTCAGGGGGCTTGATTGCTGCAAAGGTCTTAACTGCACTCACTTTAAATTACTGTAAAGTTTGATGTAGTGGTATGTGCGTAAACCACCAAACGGATTCATGAGCATGACGGTACATCAAATATAAAACAGACAGGGTTTGTTTTCACAGGCCATTCAAGGTCATCTAAAAGGGCCTATTGAAATTGGAACACAATGCTGCAGATGGTTGAAATGTAAATAAAGTTTGCTATAGTGCCTCTTGCGCGGGACACGCCCCTTCTGTTGTCTCTCTCCTTCATTATCTCTCGGGGCTTCATTACATAAAAAGAATGGGCTGTTTTGTCGTGGTTCCCGTTCAGACACGCTTTCGTATTTTTGAGGTCCCTTTACCTTCAAATAATTAGAGAGACTCTTCAGAAAATTAGACTTTATTCAGATATATGAACCAGTGCAAATTGAAGCTCTTGTTGCAGAAGAAGAACTGATGTTTCACTTTTCACACCCAATCTTTATACCTTCATCACGGGAAATTTCTTCCAAATATGGTTTTACTGTCCTCTCACGCTATACTGGTTTAATAACGTGATGTCTGCTTCTTACTTGTTTTTCTCTTTTCTCATTGGTTGGCATCATTAGCAAAATAATTACTTCTAGACCACTTGATTGTTTGTTTAAGAGAACTTCTAAATGGGTCATAGGTTGTCCTTGGGACAAGCCACATTGATCCTTCGAACCTCCCTCTCCCAGGGCACAGTTCCAGGCTAGATCCCTTCCCACAGAGATCTTCACCCGGGCTCCCCCAGGTTCAGAACTCTGCCTTCTGCTTCCCGGTGTCGTCTTTTCAAAGCCCACCGATCACAGAAGCACCACTCACCGACTGACGCATTCGCTTTTGGCTTGTGGTGGCCTGACTGTACATTGAGCCGAGCGCGGCGGCCACCCTCTCTGTGGTCTTACTGCCATCTGTGACCCGACCGGCCGGTGACCCAGTCGATAGCGATCCCCGAATCCCGTAGTGGTTACCAGCCACCCAGGTGGGAACCGACGGTCTGATCCCTACCCCACTTCGCTATGGGAATAGAAACTTTGACCGTTTTTCACCAGCCTCGCCTGTTCACAGAGGTCGTCTCCAACGCCCCTCTGCTAGGTGTCACTGTCGCCCACGTACCACGTGTTGCCTTCAACCTTATATGCAACAAACACACCGACTAGACGGTACCGCGGCAGTATGTCAATTCATACTTGAGCTTTGCAGTCCCGCCGCCGCCTGTTCTGTAGAGGGTTCAGGGGGCCTAATCCCCTTCCCTTAAAACACTTTCTACGTGCCCTGAAAACTAAAACCAGAAGACTACACCCCTCTCACAATCTAACATTGATTATACATATTTCTAAGATATATCACACATATCGCTGTGCTGCTGTCATCAAAACTAATAACATGAGGCAAGCGTGCATAACTGTATGATCACTGATGAATCGTACTGAATAATGCTGATGACTGAACAGATATAGACTGAATCAACTGAACAGATATTAATCAAGGCCATAGGAATCAACTGCTTGTGTGTGTGTGTGTGTGTGTGTGTGTGTGTGTGTGTGTGTGTGTGTGTTTTTTTTACTGCTGCTTACATAATATGGTTACAGATCATGATTATTGATTTACTGGTGAATATGAGGAGTAATACTGAAATATGATTCTCAACAGTTTCTGCATAGCGATGACTCACATTTTCCTCAGAAATGACACTTTTATGGATGGATATGTCGTGTTTGTGGCGACCGACTGTTTCATGCCTTCTTCTAAAGGCTGTCCGATTCTTCTGCCAGTAATCACTTGTTTTCTGCCTTTTGGTGATTTGTGTTCTTCTGCTGGGGACGGCCTAATGTTTTCTGTCTGTGTTTATCTGCTGTTCCTGCCATTGCGCATTGATTTTTGCTGGCGGTGGTAATCGATTGAGTCAGGTTGTGGTGACTGAATTTCGGTTTGCCTGCTGTGATCAGTTATTTCTGGCTGTAGTAGTTCGTCTTGCGTGATGATTCTTTTTTCTACCTCTGGCAGTTGGCTATTTTGCCTGTGGCAAGTCACGTCTCAGCTGGCAGTGATTGTTGTTTCTGCTTATGGTAATTGATTTTTTTCTGTCTGTGGTAATGGATTGTTATTGCCTATGGTAATTGATTGTTTCTGTCTACGGTATTGAATTATTTCAGCCTGTGGTAATGGATTGTTTCTGCCTTTTGTAATGAAGTTTCTGCCTGTGGTAATGGATTCTTTCTTCCTGTGGTAATGGATAGTTTCAACTGTGGTATTGGATTATTTCAGCCAGTGTTTATAATATACTCTTTTTGCCTGTGGTTGTGGATTGTTTCTGCCTGTGGTAATCGATTGTTTCTGCCTGTGGTATTGGATTATTTCAGCATATGGTAATATTATACTGTTTGTGACTGTGGTAATGGACTGTTTGTGCCTAATGGATTGTTTCTGCATGTGGTAATAATATACTGTTTCTGCCTGTGGTAATGGACTGTTTGTGCCTAATGGATTGTTTCTGCCTGTGGTAATGTGTTTGGTAAGGGATTTTTTGTGAAATTGGTAATGGATTGTTTCTCCCTGTGTTACAGGTGTCATTCGTGTCCCGGATCCCGGTTGCCTTTCCAACGGGTGATGCTAACTCGCTGAGCCGGAGCGTGGTGATGTATGCCTGCAACAAGAACGTGGAGCTGGCGATCCAGCAGGGCAGGCAGCGTCCCGCCGGCCTGGCGCACTCGTCCTCGGCCGCGACCCTCGCCTACGGGCCCGGGAAAGTCCCCGGGGTCCCCCGACTCAGCATCTTCACCCCCAACGTGCTGATGATCTCCAAACACGCCGACGGCTCCCTCAACCAGTGGGCCGTGGGCTTTGCCGAGGAGTCGGCCTTCTCCACCGTGCTCAGCGTCTCGCACAAGTCGCGCTACTGCGGGCACCGCTTTCACCTCAACGACCTGGCCTGCCACTCGCTGCTGCCCCTGCTGCTCACCACCTCGCACCACAACGCCCGCGGACAGCCCCCTGCCGCCCCGGCCGCCGCCCCCTCCCCGCCCTCAGCCCGTCCGGGACGCGTGTCCGTGGGCGCGGTGCCCCAGGACCCCAACGCCATCTACAGCGAACTCATCCTGTGGAGGGTGGACCCTGTGGGGCCGCTGTCTTTCTCCGGCGGGGTGTCAGAGTTGGCCAGGATAAACTCGCTCCACGCCTCCGCCTTCTCCAATGTGGCCTGGCTCCCCGCGCTCATCCCCAGCAACTGCCTGGGTAAGAGTGCCCCCTCCGCCTCGCCTCTGGCCGAGTCCTGGGCTCCATCTCTGTTCCTGGAGGTCTACTGTCCTGAAACTTCTCATTTCAGCCAATATTTAGAATGGCAGCGGTGCTGAGTGCAGTGGTTCTCAACGTCAGTCCTGGGGCCCGCTGTGTATGCAGGCTGCTTTTAGAGGTTCATTTTACCTAACTAGGCAGGTCAATTAAAAACAAATGTAATCTACAAGAAGAGAGGTCTTCACAACGTGACCTCTCCAGAAGCACGTCAGAATCTCTGTCGCTGTGCATAGAAGTGTGCTCTGTTGGAGCTGGATGGAGATATTACTGCATGATGGGTCTCCAGGGAGGGAGTTTGTTTCCTCGGTGATCAGCTATAGCCTGATGGACGGCTTCTGTGGCCCCTCTTCCTTTCAGCTGTAAACCTGCTGGAGGTTCTGCTTGGCTGGACGACCTTTCCATCTTCTCGATGTTTATGAGCAGGCTAGCCCAGAGAGAGAACACCCATGGCTGCAGTATTGTCACTGCTCATGTACTGTTATGTAAGTCCTTCTAGTTGGCTTGACTCATACCGAGAACGAGCCTTCAGTGTTATGAATTCATACCTCCGTTAGCTGAGGATCAACAGTCAGTATAATTGACCAGAAGAAGCAAAAGGGCAACAGCACAGTATTTCCTTCAAATCAGATGGTTCTCCACGATATACAGTAACGTCCATCCCGTGGACTTCCTCAATGCGGTCCTCCTGGAAGGAGGTGGTTCAAGCTTTGATAGGCTGGGTTTCGTTCAACCA